GACTTGATGTAACCAGATTTAACTGATGATGGTGTAAACAGGACTTGTATGTAAACTGGTTTAACTGATGATTGTGTAAACAGGACTTGTATGTAAACTGGTTTAACTGATGATGGTGTCAACAGGACTTGTGTGTAAACTGGTTTAACTGATGATAGTGTCAACAGGACTTGTATGTAAACTGGTTTAACTGATGATAGTGTAAACAGGACTTGATGTAACCAGGTTTAACTGATGATGGTGTAAACAGGACTTGGATTTGTAAACTAGTTTAACTGATGATGGTGTAAACAGGACTTGGATTTGTAAACTAGTTTAACTGATGATGGTGTAAACAGGACTTGTACATAAACTGGTTTAACTGGTGATGGTGTAAATAGGACTTGTGTGTAAACTGGTTTAACTGATGATGGTGTAAACCGGACTTGAATATAAACTGGTTTAAATGGGAAACTTTAACACGTTCTCAGAAAACACGTTAAATTTTGTGAAACTCTGACTTTGTTTTAACTGATTTGTTTGAAGTGCATAATTTTAAAATCAAGCTTTTGTTGCGGCAGTGAACAGGACTGATGGACAGAAACGGTTTCTGCCTGCGAGCACAGAGGGAGTTATTTTTGTGTCTGTTTGCAGAGGTGGCGTTATCTCTGCACACATCCCTGCGGTTGTGTAAACTGCTGCTGCTTTCCTGCAGATCTCCTGACCAACAGGCAGCAGCAGCGAGCAGACAGCCGGTGTGGAGCTGCAGCCAATCACAGAGCTCGATACTGCAGCGTGAAACCGCACAAACAATTCGGGCTGCGGAGCTGAAAGGATGCTCAGAGACGGGAATAAATGAATGTCACGTGTTTACTCCTGGAAAAATATCAGCTTTGTGAAAATTTATTATGTGAGCATGGAAGGGGTAAATATTAGAGCTGTGAAGGAGCTTGAGGGTCAACAGGTCCCATATCAGAACCTTTGATCAATTGTTAATAAACTAATTTTAAAAAGTTGCTTCATTTCTCTGAAAAGTGACCTGAGCTAATAATGCTGTTTCTAAAATAAAATGTGCTTTGGTAACTTTCATCACTTTGATGTCCCGTTGGTCCTTCTGTAATGAATCTGGGTTTGGATCAATAAAACTGATGACGTCATCCTTCACCTGCACCCAACTCACCTGTGTCTTTCGGATCCTGAGGTCCGCTGATGATCTGTTGAGACCCTCTTCCTGTTCGATGCTCTGCTCGATTGCTGCACACACACAGATTCAGTGTCAGGAAGTTGTTAGAGTGTTTCCCGCCACAATCAAACCAACGTTGAAAGCCTTTTTAATATTCTAGTTCCAGTCGTTTTTACCTGTTTTATGCATTTGATCCTGTGTGATTTGCTCGTTTCTTTCATTGTGCAGCACCTTGTTGCTGTTTTTAGGCACTTCAAAAATTTAAGTGGTATGGTATGATACAAGAAGGCTACATTTTGCTTTGGAGGGACGTTCACAAGTTTGTCTTTAAGACAAATAGTTTATATTATTTGTACCCAGAAGTCAGCATTTCTAAGTTCAAGTCATAAAAACCAGCTGACCTTCTCCAAAAGTTGGATTTCTGACTCAAAATGTCAGATTCCTGACCATCTTTGAGTTCCAGACTGATAAATACAGAAGTTGTGAGTTCAGGCTGACAGAGCTTTGTTTTTGTAGAACAGCTGAGGATCTCAGCTGATGATGACCTCATCAACTATGTGTGTGTGTGTGTGTGTGTCTTTGTATTTGTTACCGTGTACAGTCCATTTTTCCAACTTATACTACATTATGAGGACCAAGTGCTCCTTATGGGGCCTAAAGCCCAGGCCCCATGAGAAGAAGTGCCGTTGGTGGGTTAGGGGTTAGGTTTAGTACTAAGGTGTGAATTGAGGATTGGTTAGGTTTAGGGTTAGGTATGTACTGGTAATGGTTAGATTTAGGAAAAGGGTCAGGTTAGGCTATAGAAATTAATTAAAAAAATAATGGAAATCCATGCAAAGTCCACGTAAAGATAGAAAAACAAACAAGGTGTGTGTGTTATAATAACTGGCTGCAGCTCTGTCCTGGTCATGTGAATGATGAAGATTGTCTCTTCAGTGTGATGAAGATGAACTGAGATGATTATATAACGTTTTCTGGCACACACACGTTCTTGTTTAAGAGCATTTTGGGGACGTCCTTTGTTTCCTCACTTTGTGGGGACCATCTAGTGCAGCTGTCCTCATAATCTAAATCATTAAATTTCTGCAGAAAGATTTGTTTCATGGTTATCGTGGGGGATGAGAGACAGGTCAATGTCATGTCCTCAGATTTATTTACCAGCAGAAATCATTTGTGCATGTTTCCTGGCTCATGGCCCGGCTGCTCGCTGTTGGATCCATGATGAGTCAGCAATATTACACAGCACTGATGGTGCGAGTGTGCAGTTTTTCTGTGTATTTTTGTGTATTTGTGTGACAGTGATATGAAAACTGAGTGAGTAAGCAACAGCTTGCGTGTCCTCATGTGTCTGTTTGAGGACATGGTTCACATCTTTAGGTAAAAAAAAGAAGAAAAATTAAAAAACAAGTACATTTTTTTGTTCTTACGTAAAAATCTATTCCAGGAATATAAAATATCTGCTGAACATATTCTTAGGCCCTGAAAAAAAAAAAAAAAAAAATATATATATATATATATATATATATATATATACATATATATATGTATGTGTGTGTGTGTGTGTGTGTGTACAGTAGTCCCTCGCCACTTCACAGTTTGACTTTTGCGGACTCGCTCTTTCACGGTTTTTCAACAATTGTCAAGTTTCATATTACTCACGTGATTGGGACAGTGCAGATAAAGTTAACAAAAAAAAAACCTACTTCAGACAAGCGCCACCTATTTGTAGTTTTCTCTCAATAGGCCTACGATGTATTGCCAGTCCAAAAGAACTACATTACCCAGAAGCCAACACAGCTTCCGGACGCGGTTTTCTGCCTTCAAGAAATGGAGGGAAAGTTTTGATCTTATCCGAATCTGACCAAAACGTTTGGTCTTTATTCATAGTGATGTCAGTGCTCAGAGGATGCAGAGAATCGATCAGAACAAGACCAGAACCGGACCAAGGCTGCTGAATACAGTACCCATATAAACTTTTGCAGAGCTGTACAGTACAAATACATATGTTGTTAAAATGATGTAGGTTTAAGAGTTTAGAACATTGTAAGAGTGTGGGGAGTGTTTATAAATCCTTAAAATATATAAATACTAAAATAAGTACAGTAGTCCCTCGTTTATCGCGGGGGATCCGTACCCTAAAGCCCCGAGATAAGTGAAAAAAACCGCAAAGTAGGAATAGTAGTACAAATTACAAGTAGTATTTTAGTTTATAATTATTTATATATATATATGCATATATATATATATATATATATATAAATATATATATATGGGCGTTTTAAGCCCTTCTCACGTTCTTACAATATTCTAAATAATGTTTCTAAACTCTAAACGCTCTAAAATAGCACAGAATGTCATGATTTCAGCTCCCTGCCTTGGCTGCCCTGTGCCACCTGCAAGCGCTCTCGGCCACACCCAGTTCTCCACTCTGCATGCAGATCAGCTGATCAGCTGCAGGAGGAAGCTTTTTCTGCAGCTCTGGGCTGCACAAGGGTGCGGCAGGTGTTATTATAAATTATTTAAAATAATTTATTTTAAATAAAAATTTCATGCCGATCATGCAGCTCATCCATCAGTCAGTCAACTGTGTGTCATGTCCAATCTTACTCTGAAAAACCGTCATAGAGCAAGTCCGCAAAAAACAAACTGCGAAGTAGTGAGGGACTACTGTACAGCGTTTCTACTTCGTGGTTTTTCACTTATTGTGTGTGTATACATATTTATAAAATATTTTCCTACAAAGACGGAAGCTTCAAGTTGAGGTGAAACCAGCAGCTGTCCACATGGACAATACAAATGTCTTCTGGAGACAATTTGATGGTAGATGAGACAAACATTGAGTTGTTTGGACACAAAGACAAGAAGGACATTTGCGGGAGTTCAGGTGAGGCTTCCAGACCTCAGAACACTGCACTAACAGTCAGGCATGGTGGAGGTAGCATCATGCTGTGGTACAAAGAGGATGGAAACAAAGACGTAAGAGGACTAACAGCTGGACGGTTGGGATCACCGTCCATTTGGACCCAACTGTGTTCAAGTTTCAAACACCAGAACTGCTTTCTGATTGGATAAACTGAGCTAACAGGAAACGTCTTGAATGTCCTTCCTAAAGCCGCAATCATAACCTGAATAAAAATCTGTGGACTATGATCAAAAACTGATCAGCTTCACAGTCGCCTGTTGGTCAGACCTTGAGCAGAACGTGCACACTCTGTGAACCTGGAGACCACCCGCGGAGGATTTCAGAGCTGCAGTGGAAATGCTGCAGTGTTTCTTTCTGTGTGGGACAATAACACTCTACTGCCTCGTGGGGATTCCAATTATAGCTTCATCGCAGCTATTCTCAGTCTGCATGCGTACCGTCTGTGTGTGTGTGTGTGTGTGTTTGTGTGTGTGCGCGAGGTCCATCTTCTGGCTCTTCACATTAAAGCAGCGATGTCCTTGAACCCCCAGTATGAACCGCTGCAGATGCTTTTGCTCTTTTTTTGTGTTCTTCCTGTAGATTTAAGCTCTTTAGCTGGTCTGGTTTCATATGTTTGTGTTTGCTGATTTCAGCCTGATAAATCATCCTCACGCTTTATAAACATTTTAATATCCTGATGAAGGTGAAGGCTGACATGCACACTCATCCTCGCAGAGAAAAGTGATGAAAACAGATAAGTGATAATAAACTTTAAATACAAACTCATGAAAATGTAAATGTTTGAGTAGGAGCTATTACTTCATCAGAGAAATGTGTTGCAGCGTTAAAAGATTTAAATTTAAATTTTACTGCTTAGCTCAGGCGATCTATTTTTTGTTTTCATTTGCAGTTTGTAAAAAGTTTGAACCAATTTAAAACTAATCTTCAAAACTTCAACTTTTAGACCAAATTAAGATTTGTTTCACTTTGGACTTGGATACAGTTGGCGTTTATTAAATTTAAATTTTATTTTTATACCTAAAAATGTTTGTCAGATGCACAGACACAAAGGCGGGCAATCATGTAATTACCTGAGCTGATTTTATCGAACAGTCCTGATCAGCATGAACTTCATCAGCTCAGATTAAACATGAACATTTTAGTGGTTTTAAAGTTAACGTGTGTAAAACAGAATCTCCGAAGATAAAAACAAACGTTTCCTGCAGAGTTTCAGTCGTACCTTTTAATTTTGAACGAACTTTATTGGCCGTCTTCTTGATGTCAGCTGTGAGGTCCTCCAGCTCCTGTTTGGTTTCTGCAAAACAAACAAACAAACAAACAAACAAAAACAGCTCGTTATGACGTTCCAGGTGAAACTAAATACAACCTGAAGAAATATTCTAAATGTCTTCAGAGGTCTGTTTATTCTTATTGATCGTTCTTTAGAATCACTCGACTGGTAATCATTTGGATCGATTTTCAAACATCGATGAACGTTTCCTCTTCAGATCTTTTTTACAAGAAGGGTTAAAAGGAAAAGCAGCAGAATTTCACAATAAAACACAACAGCCTCTGTTTATTTCTTTAATCTGATGTGGCTTGAATCTGAGGACTGAAACTGGAATTTGGTTCCTGCCTGAAGCCTGAGGAGCTCTGTGAGGGTCAGGAGGGTGAGGAGGATGAGGAGGAGGCGTTGGCCATGTTGGAGCAGGGCGAGCTCCAACTGCAGCAGTGCAGTCAGATTTACGAGCGCTGCAGTGCCGTTCAGCCTCCTCCACCTCTGACTCACCCCGCTCTCCATCTGACCGCCTCACTGCATCCCTCCTCTTCCTCTCGGAGAGCAAACAGGGCGTTGCTGCAGCTCTGACTGCAGGCCGGTCGAGTGTTCGACCCACAAACGTCCGACTGCATCACGGCCTGCGAGAGGCGACGCTGCAGAGGCTGAATCTGATCAAACTCTCTGTGTCTGACAGGTAATAAATAAAAAACACCTTCAGATGAAGTTCTGTGCTCAAATTAAACTGGAAACCCAGCGGTTAGTTGGCTCCTTCAATCAGCCCTCAGAGGGTGTTAATTGGCTGATCGTTAAACAATTAGCTGAACGAGGCTGACTGATGAGTCATCAACGTAAACACTGATCAATAAACCAATATTCAATCTGCAGCTTTCCTGATCAGTTACATTTTTAAGTTGTTTGTAGTTTTTACATTTTTACAACTGCTTTGGATCTTTGTTGCATTTTTAAAATCTAGTTTTATTTTAGTAAATATATGCGTGAGTGCAGCTACAGCGTGCGTTCTCAGGACGTTATTACCTGCAGTGTTCCCTCAGTGAGGACTGAACTAGACATAAGAGCCTTCTACTCTGCTGCTGTTTCTTGGAATATCTTGCAAAAAGATCTGAAGCTCTTGACCTTGACCTCTCTAAACGGCTTCAAACATCTGTTAAGTTCCTGTTTGTAGTTTTCTACACCACCTTATAATCTAGCTGTTTTTGTTTCTATTTTAATACCATTTTCTTTAATTTGTTCTTCTCAATGCTTCCTTTTATGATTGTCTATTGTTGTCTTGGGGTCCACTGTTGTCATCATTCTTTGTTAAAATCAGGTCTCTCTTGTAAATTAGTCCCCGATGCTCAATGGGATTAACCTGTAGAAATAAAGGTTGAATGAAAGTTCTTAAGGTTGTGTTTTTGTAAAATCCTGGGAAATAAATCAAAACTATCAGTGACTCATCCTGCAATTTATATTTATTTCCCAGGATTTTACAAAAATCAACTTTTCAACTTTTAGTTTCTATCAAAATCTTAAAAATTTGTTATAATTTCTCATGATGCTGCGTTCACTGACACTCGGACATCAAAGTCTTTACTTTGCTGTTAAAAGTTATCAGCAGGTATAAATATTAAAATTTGCTTTATTAGAGCCAAAGGGACAAATAAAAGATTTATTTCAGTAAACTTCTTATTTGAGACGTGACTCAAGTTTAATAAAATTATTCAACACATTGTTAAAAGAAATCTGACTTTTTATTTGATATTTATACATTTTCATAACAAAAGCAGATCAGATAAAAAAGTTTATAATCATTTTTACATTTTCAATTTTTTTAAATAAATTTATAAATAATTTTATTTATTTTACTTTTATCTTTTGATTTATCTTTAAAGTGTAAGTTTTCAATTCACACCAGAAATACAGTGGTTTGTTTTTTAAGATCATTTTAAAATTTAGTTTCTATTTTAATTTTTGTTTGGATTCAGTAAATTTATCACAGCAAATGTGTTAATTTGAAAAAATAAACATTTTAAAACAAAACAAATAAAAAAGTCAAGAACAAAGAAAACTTTTAGAAATATATAATAAAATGTAGTTGTTTTTTTACATTCAAAATTTACAAAATCAACAGGTTGGATAAATCTTGTTTTCTTTTGCTTGTTCAAAATTACACATTTTCTTTTTATATTTTTATTTTTCCAAAGAAATAAAGAAAAAAATTGTTTCTTGATTCCGCTGTAATACTTATCCTCTGTTTGTTCTGATTAAATTAATTATTTTTAATAACTTATCAACAAAACAAAATTTGTCCAACTTCCTTCCAACGTTTGTTTTTAAAGAATTAAAAACTGTTGACACGAAATAAATAAAACTAGAAGAAGTGTAGAACCACTAGACTGAGGAACAGCTTCTACCCTGAAGCTGTTAAGACTCATAAATGCCTCACCAGGAAAATCACTATAATGACACTTTCATGGGACATTTGACACTTTATTCATGCTGCTTATTATCCATGCTGCTGATCTCATGCTGCTGATCTTTTGCCTTTAAGCTGCTGTATTCATACCCATCTGCTCACAACAGACTCATGTTCAGGCTGCTGTTTAATACACCATATTATTTTACATTATTATTGTTTATCATACATTCTTATTACTGTTTCTTTTACACTTTATATTTTTGTTATTTTTGGATATAACTGGGAACCTGAGTACACAATTTTGTTCCACCTCGTGTACCACGTGTGATGAGAATGATAATAAAAAACTTGAACCTTGAAAACAAAACAAAACAAATAAATTCTGCAGAAAGGAATGAAGTGAAGGAGCGACCATGAACATTTGTGGTACATCTGTACTCGTTTGATTCACTACAACTCCCATCATGCATTACTCATGTGGGACACTGAGAGGAGCTGACCCAGAACCGAGGAAATGCCTTTTCTCCAGGAGGAAGAAGAGTCGGAGTGTCCACTTGAATCAACATGAAGGTGAGATTTCATCACAGGTACATGATTCTAAGCTCAGCTATCCCCTTCCAGTGGAGATTTTCACAATAAAATGCTTTTCATATGCTAATATAAAACAACAGTGGGTTTGGTAAAAGCAAACACCTGACAGTAAAATAATTATATTCTATGTCAAAGCATGGCAAACCTTGTTTGAGAAAACAGTTTCAAGTTTTAGTTAACGGTGCTTCTGCTTCAAGGAACTCTTGTTTTTATTCCTCCATTTTGTCAATGTTTTCGTCTCGTTGCTCCTCCCTCAGCGTAGGAATCAAACAAAAGTACATGAGAACGAGCGTCTGGATCAGGAAGTCTGAGCTCTGACTGTCGTAACATCGTAGGACAGAGGTGAAATTCACTAAAACTGTGAGAACCCCCCATACAACGGGTTTGGCTTCAGACCTGTTTGGACCTCCAGCTCAGCCTTCAGGACCATCAGAGTTTAAACAGGTCACAGGAAGTTGAACTAATCATGACTTCACTGCTGTTTTCACGTCTTAACACGATCACAGCTGAACATGGAGGATTTTACTGATTTTACTACAAAACCTTCTGTCTGATGATGTCACCCTAAACGTGTTGAACTCCTCCTCCTCTCACAGTCTTCTTCTTCTTCTACCTTTTCTTCGTTTGTCGTAGATGTTTTGTCTTCGTCCACCCAGACTGTCTATCTGCTCCAGGATGGATGGTTTTCTCTCCAATCCCCCAGAGGTCAGAGGTCACACACCCAAACACACCATGGAAACCAGTGACAGCAGGTTCTGGGTCTTCTATATTACCCAGCATGCTTTTCTTCCTTCAATGTTTCCATCATGGCCACTGCCATGATTATATA